ACTTTCTTTGACTTGAGTTCAGTGGCGGATCCATGTTGGTTCAAAGTGGTTCACTTGAACCACCTCAGATTTGCAAATGTGGTTATATATTATATATCTCACACAATGAAACAACGAAGCCTTTGTCCCAGCGGGAGTGTATAGGCTAGATGTTTGCACTCGGTATCTCACACAATGAAACAACGAAGCCTTTGTCCCAGCGGGAGTGTATAGGCTAGATGTTTGCACTCGGTTATGCTGGAGGTCTTGGGTTCAATCCCTTGGCAAACTGCAATTTCTTTTAAGAAGCAATGTTATCTATTTTTTATCCTTCAATTTTTGCTTCCCATTTATTTTCTCCTTCTTTTTCTTTCTTTTTATCCTTGAAATCATAATTCTCAACTTCTTCAATTATTCTAATCATCATTTTTATTATGAAGCTAAGCCTAACCATTCTCTTTTATATATGTTTTGTCTCTTCTTTTTCTTTGTTTTTGTTCTAAAAAAAATTAACGTTTATTTTGAACCACCACTAAATAGGTTGTAGATCCGCCACTGCTTGAGTTTCGATCTGCTACTTAATCTACACTAGAGATTTTTATTTCTCTTGCACTTCGTGCTAGATTTCCCAGTGTACGTAGAAAGGAATAACATGCAGTATTGTATAATTAATTAAAAAAACTGTAGACAATTTAAAGGCAGTAAAATTAAAACATTAGAATCATCGTATAATTAAGATATAATCTTATAATCTTGCAATTCGTGGCAAAAGCTTAAATACCTTTATAATATTTGTCAAGAAGATAAGATAACCTTTCCGTTATTGAAATCCAGATTTACTTTTGCAATTTGATTTTTCTCCCTCATTTTTTTTTCATTTCATACAGAAGAAGCTTTCTTTTTCCATCTATTGCGAGAATGGATATTTCAATTTTTTGACGAGATTAATTACCTGCAACCTTATTTTGCTAAAAAATTAAGTACTATATGGTAATCTTTTTCCAAGTTGTTGAATTACATGCATGACTTTATTAATTAAATGGTAGTATAGTAATTGAAGCAAAGAAATTTTTGAAGAGAGGACGGAGAAATTCATCAAATTCTAATATCAATGAACCAAGATTTTCATTAAAAGTAATGAGTGTGCATGCCTTATATATTGATTGTAATTGAAGAGAATGGATTAAGTGCATTTGAATGTGCATCTGAATACATGCCTTATTCAATTTCCAGCTCATGTATGCATGGCTTAATTGTGTATATTCTGATGTCTTGCTTCCCTTAGCAAACTAACAAACTCTGATATACTTCACCATTAATTGCTTACAAGCAATATTGTAACGAATACTTAAATTAGATCATATAAATTTAACTAACAATTTTCGATTACGTACTTAATATATATATATAGATTAAGTAAACTAACCATTATAAGACAATAAAAGAAATTAATTAGATAGATATATACCTGGTAAATCCCAGGGCTCGCATTTGTATAGATCAACTTCAGGGATGATTTCAAGCTCAATTTTTCGCCTGTTGATTTTTCGTTCGAGATAGTAGGTGACGAGCTCCTCATCGGTAGGATGAAATCGGAAACCAGGAGGCAAAGTCACGGGTTCCATTTTCTCCTAATGAAAAACAAGAGTAGAACGAACAAGGTGCAGGCCTTCAATATATCGATCACAAAAACAATATTGAAGACGGCCAGCCTCAAGAATTAAGGTTACAACCTCCCAGGTATTGTACAAGAGCCCTGAGACAACAAACTTTCTTGTTAAATCCTTGCACATATATGCACATGAGAGAGAGAGAGAGAGAGAGAGAGAGAGAGAGAGAGAGTACCGAGAAGAGGAGGTTGGGCAAAGGAGAGAGGGAGGGAGGGAGATCGAGGGGAAGTTGGGAAAAGGGCTATATTCTTTATAGCTTTAATAGTGTGCTAATAAGAGTTATTTGATGTTTGAGGGCCCGACGTTCTCATGAAGCTCTCTTGTCTCTTTCTTTATGGCTAGCTACAAATGTCCGAAGCTTCTGCTATTTTCTTCTGTTGTTGAAGGTAGGTATCTCATGAGTTCTGAGGTGGCGGAATTTTATTGGAGGAGGACGGCTGCTGAAGGGGCCTACCAGCTGATGTCTAGTCAGCTCGGTCTGTAAAGGGATGGGGCCCAGCTTCTGCAGAAGTTTGGCGGCATTGACGATTAGCGGTCGTGTTCACACATGTACGTACTTTAGCTGTATACTCATTCTCATATTAAATAATTTGTTGAGATTTATCTCCTTGGTTAAGTTAATCATTCCAACCAAAACTTGTGTACCGACTTCAAGCTCCTCCCATGGTTAATTATAAGTTTTATCCTCCTCTTATTAGCGCCAGTCGCTCCATTTCAACGACGTCCAACTAACTAAGGCCAGTTTGTTTGGGATTTGGATCTACTTTATTGCAAAAAAGTAGTGGGATATCACTACTCTTGATCATAATTATTAATTCTCTAATTGATGGTGATGACTAAATTTAAGGTTCAACATACCCCCACCCCCACCCCCACCCACACACACACACCATGAATTGCACTTTTTTTCTAATTTGCACTTAGATACAAATAATGACCATATTGTTACTCATAGATTAGGAAAAGATTGATATCGAATGACAAGAGTTTGGATAAAAACTAGCGAAACCGAGCAGCAGCCTGAGCTTTCATGAATAAATCAGATATATGATTCTTAGAGGGTATATAAGGAAGAATAATATGCTTGGTAATATATTCCTGACGAACAAGATGATAGTCGACTTCAATGTGATTTCTTCGTTCATGGTATATAGAGTTAGTGGCAATAGCAATGGAGCTCTTATTATCACAGTACAAAGGAATAGGTGTCACCATAGAAACACCCATATCACTCAAAAGATGGCGTAGCCACTTAAGTTCTGAGACAGTATCAGCCAAAGCTCTATATTCTGTCTTGGTCCCTGAAGGAGAGAGTACATCATGTTACTTGCTATGCCAAGAAATAATAGAGGAGCCCAAAAAAATACAGAAGCTTGTGGTGGAATGACAAGTATCAAGACCATCTACCCATCCAGTATTAGATTAGGCTTGTAAAGAAAGAGATTACTCCAAGTTGAAAAATCTTGTCCATACATGCATTATTGATCAATTACGCATATGATAAACCCAAGTGTATCTAGAAAAATTATCAACAAAGTACATATAATATGTGAGACCAAATACAGATGAAATAGGAGCAGGACCTCAAATATTAGAATGTATCAAATCAAAAAATGGGTGAAGCTTTGTGTTCACTAGAACTAAAAGGCACTGCAGTTTATTTTGCATAACGGCAATTGACATAATTATTTGAACTAGAAAATTGAAAATGTCCTAACACACCAAACTCAGATTAAGTTTTTGACCTAAAACTAGATAAATGACTTAACCGACAATTCCACACATTTGAAGCAATTGAAAAACTAACTACTAAAGTGGGAGATGGAAGGAGGTGTAGATACTCTAACTAACACAAACTCGTTGATCCTACGTTTCATCCCAATCTTTTGGCTAGTGTTATCCTGAGCAATACATGAAATAGATGTAAATGATTTTTTTTTTTTTTGGTCAATGAAAAAGAACTTTATTTCATTTTCCAATCTGTACATTTGTAAAGAACATCAAACCATCAGTTATAACAACCTGATGTTCACACTGTTACAATCTTTAGTTTTAATTTTTTACAACTTTATTTAGATGTAAATGATACTGTACAGCCACAATCAGTAATTTTTCCAATAGATAGTAATTGAATGGTGAGCTTAGGAATACAGAAACAAAGGATAAAGTAAGACTACTTGATGGTTTAGAAGTGAAAGTGATGTTACCATATTGCATGGCTTCAAGAGGTTCACCATTAGCAACGTGTATATATATATAGAACCTTGCTATTTGTCTCGCGCGTGATGCATCACGCAAGAGAGGAGGAGGGTCAGTGGGACCCACTTCACGTGGGTCCCTCTGACCCTCGTCCTCTCTTGCGTGATGCATCACGCGCGAGACAAATAGCTTTTTTGATATATATATGTGGTAAGTGGCAGTCATATGGTAAGTGGCACCTGAGTCAAATATTCAAGATGTAGACCCTCCAGAGTTTGTAGACAGGGCAACAAAATCAAAATTTCAAGATACTCCACAAAGATCGATATTTTGTGCAAGTAGAGTGGCTAACTATAAAAGTTGATCAAATGAAAAGGAGCCTGATATAGGTGATGTTGAAAACTGTGAAGCTCATGAAAAAGGCGGCAGCTAAGTTAGGGAGAGTTGGTTTTGGAGTTGGATTGGAATTGGATAGCTTAGATTAAAAAGAAATAAAGCGGCTGAGATTTAAGGAGTAATGAGAGAATTTCAAATGGCTCTGATACCATGTTAATTAGAGATTGAAATAATATTAATATATTATTGAATAGCTCTATACATCAACATCATATACTCCCTTTAAAAGTGGGAGTTCTTGAAAAACTTTCATTGGTTAATTTTACCCCTAATCATTTTTAATATTGACATTCTTATCCAAATTATAATTGGTTATCAACTAAAGCTATTAAATTAAAATTAAACTCCTGAATTAAAGCTCTTTCTATTCAAAATTAATCAATAAAAATTGATCTAATTAGAATTGGTTGACAACTAAAGAGTATAAAGAAGTTTAAACTCCCGAATTAAAGCTCCCTCCATTCAAAACCAATTAATAAAAAATTAATCTAATTATAATTAGTAAACAACTAAAGAGTAGAAAGAAGCTTAGAGCACATTAGCATTGTAAACATAATATGCATTGCGTGTGTAAATATTAACCAATTGATTGATACCAAATTATGGAATTGATTAATTATCAATAAAAATTAATTAATTAAAGTATTTTTTGTAGTTGTCCCTTAAACCTTACATATTTTGAAATTAGTCTGTCAAAGCATTAAAATTATTATTAGGTCACTTAAGATACTAGTAGAAAATAGGGCATTGGCGACGGGAAAATCCGTCACCAATGCCCCAAAATCTGTCACCAATACATATTGGTGACGGAAATGGATTTATCGCTAATAAATCTGTCGCCAATAAGCATTGGCGATGAATTTCCCCGTCGCCAATATTTATTGGCGATGGGAACCACCCGTCGCCAAAGAAATCTGTCACCAATAGTCGTCCATCGCCAATAAGTATTGGCGACAGGGAAATCCGTCGTCAATGCTCATGGACGACGGATCCATTTCTGGCACCAATATGTATTGGTGACGAATTTTGGGGTATTGGTGACAGATTTCCCGTCGCCAATGCCATGTTTTCTACTAGTGTCTTAAGTTATTTGAAATTAGTCATTCAAATCAATGGTATAATTTGAGAGACTAATTTTCATCTAATTGCTTTTTTTACTCTTGATTGGAGAAGCTGATATCAAAATAACTTAAGAATTGTGGATGTAATAGCTATTTCAATGATTTGATGAATTAATTTTAAAATAATAAGAATTGAGTAACCTAATAGTTCAATGTGGTTATCTTTGCAAACTTATGGAGAGATTTTCTTAAATGATGATAGGTCTTTTTATTTTACAGTCATTAGGGATTACGACAGAAGAATTTTTTTCCTTTTTTTACTTCATAAGAATTTTTGTCATTTGTTATTATTAGTTTGGAGGCATTGAAGAAATTGATTGCTATATGAGCGAATAATCTTTTCTAATAATATGTAGTTTACATTGCTTATGATCACAAGGACACATAAAATGAAAGCTGAAGGTACATAAATGTAAATATTAAGAAAGTTCACATATAATATTACATCATCAAGTTGAGATTTAAAAGAAACACTTTTACAACCAAGTTATACTAAAAAAATAAACCGAACAAATAACCATGTGCAATGCATGTGTATCTCTCCTAGTATAGATATAAGGAGGAGTAATTTTGGTACAAGACAAATCATATATAACCAAGATACAACTTTCCTAACACATACATTAGAGATCGAATCAATAATTGTGATAATGTAGTGATACCTCCATTACTTTTTTGAAAGTGAAGGGGATCCGAATATGTTTGTTTGCATGAAATAAGTAACTATATATGAAGTAGAGGTGAAGCTTACTTTTGCTACTTTGAAAAAATATCTTTTCTTTGTCGGTAATATTATTTCCTCTACTTACTTAATTGCTGATTTCACAACTACTTGCCACCTTCACTTTCCAAAAATATTAGCACCTCCAAGCTTTAAAGTGCTTTAGAAGTGGATGAATTGCGTGAGGTCCATACGAAGAGAGGGGATACCATAAAGTCAATGATCCAGTTGGAGTGGTCGTGATCTTCCCAGTTCTAGTGTTGACATGGGCCAGTTTATGCACATCACCTGCTAAATATAAAGAATCATATTTATATCAAAAGTTTATATTTTAACCCCGTTTATTACCCTGATTTATTTTTGAACCCTCTAAAGTACTTGTTCATACTCTGAAACATCCAAGCTAATTACCTATAAAGAAAAAAATCATGTTAATGCATATAATGTGTTACAGTATGAACTATCATAATTCAATCTAAAATGTCTTACTATTTTTTTGTCAATGAAAAAGAGCTTTATTCATTTCTCAATATGTACATTGTGATTGTCAGGCGCCTAATGAAGCCAAGCACCAACCCACCCAGCAGCCAATGTTAAAAAGGAAAAAAAACAAAAGAGCGGACCCCACAGCTACAGTAAAATATTAATATTTTATTGTGCATAGTGTTTTTCTAAAAACTATAAATAGGGCTCCAAATCCTTAAGGAAATTTTATCTCAGA